AACGTATATATGAGCAGAAAAATGTAACAGGAAAATAACAAAACTATCAAAAAAATTATTTTTCTCCTCGCATTTCAAAATCGACAATTCTCATTATCATTTTTACGATGGAATCAAGTTGCATTTTCCGCTCGCACATAATTTATCAAATTGTTTTTTTTATTTCTTAAACTATCTCCACCCCCTAAAAACCCAACGCCCACACAGACTCTTTCCCTCGCCCGAGAGGGTTGATAAGTCCAACACACCCACCACCACGTCTCCTCCTCTCTAGCGTGCGCATTGCAATTTCTCCTTCAGGCGACGTCGACAACTTTGAGTCTGAGGTTGGCGATGGTCGCCTTGCCAGCTCAAGGCTAGATCAAGGCCGACAACCTCGACTTGGCGGCCATGACCGAGCTTTGCTGCAAAGCTTGCGCGGCTCATTAACCTATTGGAGAGGCTTGCGAGATCGAGGCTATCCTCGGACGACCTAGGCGACCACGAACCGTGGGCTCTAGTCACCCATGTGGCCTTGCACTCAGGAGCCACGCACAATCTCGTCACAAATAGAGACAGGGATGTGTGGAGAGGGTCGCGGGTAGCGAGAGAGGGCAAGGGCGTCGCCATCATTGTCGGAATCGAGCTGTGAAGTCAGCCGGCTACTCGATGGGTAGGGGCAGCTCTTGATCATTGTTGTGTTGTGCTACTTTATGATAGGAGAGAGACAGGGCAGGGGAAGAGAATGGGAGAGGGGTTTAGATGTAGATTTTGGGTGTACATGACTGACAAATAATTCTTTCTAAATTTGGAAGATGCAAAATTTAAGTTTTAAAATGTGAGGAGCGTATTTAATTTGGAGAGCAATTATCCCAATTGTAAATGAAAAAAAAAAAGAAAATCATTTCGATCCTTTGATAGGAAATAACATGTTCGCCATTTGCCCTTCTATATAGATTTGTCAAAATTGATGATAAATTCATTACTTAACTCATATATAATGGGCTGAGTCATTTTATAGATTAGATACATTCAGTAAATGGGTTTAAAATGGCAAAATCTAAAAAAAAATATGAGTGTTAAATGGATTCACTATTTACATGAACTCAATTCACCTTTGTAAGTCTCTATTCAACCTCTACTAGAAAAGTAACGAACTCCTTAGACTAGCCGCTCCCTTTTTTCCCCCACTATTTTTCAATTTCATTAATCACATAAGTTTCGTCTAATAGTTATTAGATAGTTATTGGAGTATATCTTTTATGGGCTACAATTGACATTATTATTTTTACGTAATATTATAATATTAGTTCTTGTTATTACAATCCATGGTCAGCATAAATACAATATCTTATTTCCATTTAATTAAAATTTCAATTTCTCCGCATTATTTGTTGCTGTGATTTATAAATTCACTACCGAGTAATGACTTTCTCTCATTTTATATTATGTGAAGTTCCATCAAGTTCCTATCAGTCCTCGCTTACGAAACTTCCCTCACATGAGATTGCCCTGAATTTCTTGTGATACTACGAAATATTACGAGGACCCCACCTGAAGAAAAAAGCATCGAACGACGCATTGAAGAAGTGGAATGGGATCGCCTTGTCAAACAGATGGAAAAGAACACAAGACCTCTGGGTTCCTCCTCTCCCTCGACAAAGAGTGATTAGAAGAAGGATGTGATATCTCGTCAGATATATCTTGTTCGTCGCGTGTGGATACCAGTGTGTCAATTAATATTGACCAAAAGCATCTATGAATGCCATGGTTGCATTATTGGTTGCCAAGAGTGTAGGCCATATGTGTGAAATATTGGCTATATATGTGTTGTGTACTTGCTTGCCTTTTCCTCCCTCTTGTGCCTGAATAAGGCATGGGTCGTAATGTCCAGGACTCAGAGAAGTTCCCAATAATAAACTGTTGTGACGTGTGATTAAGTGTGAAAACTACGCGAGGCTAAAATCTCTCCCTCTTCTCTTCAAAATTCCAGTTTGGTAGTAAAGATCTTAGAATGGTAAAATAGCACAAATCCTGATATGCTCTGCACTAGCCTCCGTATAGATCTTGTGCATCAGAATTCCGAGGCTAGGCCTTATGTCTGGAATAAGAGCTAAAGCTGAATGCTAAAAGTTGATCCTAAATGGGTAAGGCCTAGGAGGCACCATTGGAGGACTGAATATCTGCATTAGCTTTGATCTTGTTCCTGGCATTATGCATCTTTTAGTCGCAATAGCAATTTTATCAAAATAACATATACATATAAAGAGCTTAAAATGAGTTAACTAGATGGATGCGGATTTTTATAGGTTAGATTAAATATAGAAGTATTTTAGTAATACGGGGATTGGGTTGTACGGTATATAAATGGGTCAAAACGAGTTAAATGGGTCAATTTAGGTCGGATCATTTTCGATCTGACCAGAACCACCCATTTGATGGCCCTACTTTTGCCCAAATCCCTATACATGAACAAAAAAAAGTAGAACATTGACTATTTTTTTACCACGTATGAAAGCTGAGTTTATGCTCCTTCCATGCTTGAATACCTTAGTTTCCTTGAAAAATTAATACTCTTCATTCCTGTATTTTCACGTTCTTTGTAATCAAGTCCCTAATCAAGTGATTGTACTTTCACAAAATTTTATAATTAAGTCCTTCGGACCCTATAACCGGCCAACTTCAGCAAATGTAGCAGTGGGATGGCGTCGAAGTGTGATGTAGATAATTTTTTTTTCAAAAATAGATGCCACATCGAAAGTATTTTATCCACATCATACGCCGAGATTGTCTATATTAGCTAAAGTTTTGCAAACACGTTCAAGTGGGCATCCACATGTTTTATTCACAGGATACTTTTGCGTCGTTCGCCAGTCAAGTCGGCTAAATTTGGTCAAGTTTGGTGATGGAGGGAGTTGATTTATGAAACTAGAAGTATTTATTTAGAGAAATTAAAAGTAAAAGTACTTGATTGGAAAAAACCCGATGAGATAAAGATAAAAAGTGAACCTCTTTTCTTTCGTTTCATACTATCGGTATGCTGCAGTTTAGTCAAAAGTAGAAAGTTCAGCGAATAAAAAAGCCGCCGTGGAAAATTCACCAACCAAAAAGTCGCACGTAAGAAGACTATCTGTCTGTGTACCGTCCAGAATGCGACATCATACGCGTTAACAATCTGAAAGAAGCTTTTGTTTCCTATCATCAGTTTGAAACTGTTTAGATTATGCAGATTATGTAGTCTTGATTGTTCTGGCCACGGGCTCTCCTTGATTGATGGCTAGTTATGACTGGAGATTAGGACAGAAGTCTTTGATTATTGTTGTGTCACATAGACTAGACATTCCCTTTGAAAAAATGACACAAATAATCCATGAACTTTAGTTAAATATGAACTATGGTCCCTAAACTTTTAATTTGTTCAATGTGGTCCCCAAACTTTTAATTTGTTCAATATAATCCTTACACTTTTGATACATGTCCAAGCTAATCCCTAAACAACAATTTTGTCCTTAAACCTAAATTAATGGAAGGATAACATTGGTTATTTTTAGGGTTAATACCACGAAAAACCCTAAACTGGTACACTTGTGACAATTTTACCCCAAACTATTTTTTTTACCATAAAAAACCCCAAACTGGTACACTTGTGACAAATCTACACTAAACTATTTTTTTGACCACCAAAAACCCCAAATTGGTATACATGTGACAATTTTACCCCGAACTAATTTTTTAATATTATTTTTTATTTTTCGAATTTTTTTATTTATTTTTTATTTTTTCTTTACTTTTTTTTTCCTTTCTTTTCAACCTCTGGCCGGTCGCCGGACCGGCGACCAGCCAGAGGCGGAAGCCAGCGAGGTCGGCCCCGCCGGCCACTGGCGAGGCTCAACCTCGCCGGCGTTGGGCGAGGTCGGCCTCGCCTTGCAACGGCGAGGTCGAGCCTCGCCAGATCTGGCGGGGGCTCGGCCCCGCCGGCGTTGGGCGAGGTCGGCCTCGCCCTGCAACGGTGAGGTCGGCCTCACCCAACACCAGCGAGGTCGAGCCTCGCCAGCGGCCGGCGGGACCGGGCCCTCGTCAGATCTGGCGAGGCTCAACCTCACCATTGTAGGGCGAGGTCAGCCTCGCCCTGCAACGGCGAGGTCGAGCCTCGCCAGATCTGGCGAGGGCTCGGCCCCGCCGTTGCAGGGGGAGGTCAGCCTCGCCGGCGTTGGGCGAGGTCGGCCTCGCCCTGCAACGGCGAGGTCGAGCCTCACCAGATCCTCGCCCAACGCCGACGAGACTGACCTCGCCCAATGCCGGCGAGGTCGGCCTCGCCCTGCAACGGCGAGGTCGAGCCTCGCCAAATCTGGTGAGGGCCTAGCCCCGCCGTCCGCTGGCGAGGCTTAACCTCGCCGGCGTTGGGCGAGGCCGACCTCGCCCAACGCCGGCGGGGTCGAGCCTCGCCAGCGGACGGCGGCGGGGCCGAGTCCTCGCCAGTTGCCGGCGGGGCCGACCTCGCTGGCTTCCGCCTCTGGCCAGTCGCTGGACCGGACCGGCTAGAGGTTGAAGAGAAAGGAAAAAAAAAGTAAAGAAAAAATATAAAAATAATCGAAAAATAAAAAATAATATTAAAAAATTAGTTCTGGGTAAAATTGTCACATGTATACCAGTTTCGGGTTTTTGGTAGTCAAAAAAATAGTTCGGGGTAGATTTGTCACAAGTGTACCAGTTTTGGATTTTTTATGGTCAAAAAAATAGTTTTGGGTAAAATTGTCACAAATGTACTAGTTTAGGGTTTTTCGTAGTATTAACCCTTATTTTTATATAGTTTAGGGACTAGTTTGAACATATACAAAAAATTTCAGAGACCACATTAAATAAATTAAAAATTTAGAGACGACATTACATATTGAGTTAAAGTTCACGGACCACATTGAACAAATTAAAAGTTCAGGGACCATATCGCACAATGAGCCAAAATCCAAGAACCATTTATGTCATCATCCCATTTCCTTTGAAGAGAGAGAGAGAGAGAGAGATTGCTGCAATAATATTCAAGAATTCATTCAATCCACTATATCGTTTCTTTTCTTGAAAGACAAACATATGACAAGTTATACAGTTCACACAAGAAACAAATCAAGAAGTTGAAAACCTACAAGCTAATTTGCTTGAACTTTTAGTTACCCTAGTGTTTCTTTGGACCACCCCCAATATCACTTGTGGAGAAAACCTCACCCTACTAAGGCTTAAAGAAGCTAACTTTAATGCCAGTGTCGATCACCACATAGACACCCGCCGCAATCAGGAGCCCGCTCAGTGCCATCCCCAACGTTCCAAGCACCCAATTGACCCACCAGCTCAGGCCATACATCTTGGGCCTCTTCATCTTGAGCCACATGAAGCATGGGTAGGCCATGGTCACGGGCAGTGCGATCCCGCCGATGAGCCCGGCCATGCTCCCCAAGAACGGGATTGCCACCGCCACGAAGAAGCAGCCGTACCCGAACATTGCCCTGCTGATTGCCCTGCCCCACCATGGCAACGGCTTCTTGAACTTCATGATGAACTTGGACTCCATGTCGTCATGCATCGGCATCCCGTAGATCTGGAACGAGCTCAAAGCGTTGATGATCACAAACAGGATCACGAGCCCGAGGACAGACTGCGCGATGTCGTTCTTGTGCCCGTATATGGCCACCAACATGCCCCCGTTCACGGGTATCTGCAGTGGTCGAAACGAAAGATACAACATCAGCCCAAGATTATTCTCCTAATCGGTTGTTGTTCAAGAAGGGTAACATGTCATTTAGTGATGGTGGCGATCGAGATTGGAGGTGGATTATGTTCATACCTCTCGGCCATATGCCCAGTAGCCTGCAATTGCTAGAGGGAATAAGCACGCCGCGATCATTGCGTATGCAACTTTTGTGCCCCTCCACATTGGCACTCTCGAGGGATGCTTCTCACTCGAAGGCATAGTGGCCTGCAAAAAACAATAATGAAAAAAAAAAACGAAATTGTAAGAAACTTGATTTAGTAAAAGTAATTATATTCCGAATCAAGAATTTTTATCTCAATCTTTTTATCATTATGGTATTGTCGTTCGACGACCTCGCATGCGTAGAGACTAATGAAATTCTTGAAGTTTTAAATGAAGTGACAAGTAAGGTCCGTGTCATTTAAAACGCCGAACCCTACAAAGCTTGCTTACTCGAAAGGAAAGAAATTAATTGATTTTTCTGTCACTGTACCGAGCGTAGAAATTCTTCTAATAGTCGATACGGCAACCATCAACACGTGATCAGTCAAAATCACAAAAGTTTGCGTGGTCCTGAGTGGGGCATCGCTGTAATAAATAAGGTCTAACTTACTTCACGGTTCGGACAGTCGAAACAGCACTCGATTTCATTAAGATCTCAACGAAGATTTGGTGTCGTTGAGGCTTGTATTCTATTTAAAAGCAAGTACTCTTCTAGATGATGTTGTGTGTGAAAAGAAGGACCAGCCGGGATGGTGGTTTCAGACCAGCTTAATCAAGGGAGTTGGTGCCACCTAAGCCAGCGGGCACCGTCGGATTGGAATTTTTTCGGTTGTGATTGAAAGTCAAAGTGCAAAGTCAAAAGGGCCCCCCTCCCACGTGAACTTTGTTGAAGTTTCAACAAGGACGGCTTCATTTTTAAGTGTCAGCGAGAGTCCCTCTCCGAAGGTTCAACAGTCAACTTTTAGCTGCTGAGTATTTAATTCATTTAATGTTACTTCTTTGCAACGACTTCAAAAGGATGACGTGGCACGTGGAGCTCACCGAAAACATTGGGCTAAAGAAAAATAAAACTCAATAGGCAATTCTAAACATGCGAAAGTTAGCTTATAGAGTAACGTGATTAGCTTTTCTTGGGTTTTTAAATCCGACCGAAAGGTTTTCTGAATAGTTTACTTATAACTAATTCACACCACTATTGCTAGTCTCAATTACTTATGGTGCAACATTCAAGCTATGTCACGAGGAGCTAGCAGCTCCATCAAGTCTAGACCACTTTGCCTGTACTAGAAGTAAAATTGGCCGGAGAAATTTAATGTCAAGAAACTCTAAAGTTAGGTGTGTAATTGCCAAAATGACGACTCTTTGGTGCAAAATTTGGTGCTTCGCTAAAAGCACCTTAGGTACATTCTGCTTGATCTAATTTTCTGTGAATTTTATGGATTTCATCTTAGACGTTGTAATGTGGGAGACTGTAAGAGAATTGAAGGAAAGAAGGGGGAAAATCTTTGGTACCTGGATTTCGAGAATGAGGTTGTGGCCTCTGAAGGCGAAGGAGATGATCCCAAGCGCGTTGAGGACGTCGAAGACCCTGGCGATCTCCGTGCTCGCCCTCATGGGGTTGTACGACACGTTGGGCATCCGCCCCTCGGAGACCGAGATGGCCCACATCATGGTGCAGTAGCCGACGGCGGTGATGGCCCCGACGAGGGACACGCCGGCGATGGAGTTGAGGTTGGGCAGCTGGGACAGCAGGACAGCGGCGCATGTGAAGACGAGGTACCACTCCACCGTCGTGAGGTGGTGCGCGCCGCACGTGCCGCCGCACAGGATCTCGAAGAACATCTTGCACGTCTCCCCGCCAATGATGATCAGGGACACGCAGGTGCCTCCCGCGAGGTACATGAAGGGGAACAGCGCCAACCAGTTCGCTAGCTTCTCGCCTGAAATATAGTAATTCGTACGACGTTAAACTAGAGAACGTGGCTGAGTCAGAATTTCTTTCTTTCTTTCTTCTGTCACCATAGTCTTTAGCATCGAATCCATGCTTGTTAAACTAGAGAAAGTGAAGTCATCTTTGGCCACGTGCGACGAGCATGAAGATTCAAGTTAACTCAAGGATTGTGAAATTCAACTCTTCTTGCTGCGTTTTTCTCTCTTGAAAACTACATGATCTTATAAAAATCAGAAGAGAAGATTAATAATTACCAAACGCGGCACTGGCAAGCTGCATGTATCTGCTGTAACGCATCCCCGTCTCGGGAGATTCATGGAGTTGCACCAGCAAGTATAGTGTGTAAAGCTGCCATATGAACGCCAGAGTCAAGCATATAATCCCCCATGTCCTGCAAAGTAATCAGAAATATCGAATCATATACATGTATGAAAAGAAAGACTTCATGTATGAAAAGAAAGACTTTAAGATTATGATCAATGAACAAGTTGCTTGAGTTTTTAACCCAAAAAAAAACAAGTTGCTTGAGTTTCGCTTACCATCCAAGAATGGTGAAAGCCACCGGGAGCACGAGGGCCTGGATCCCGATACCCGAGCAAAGGGTGTGGAAGCCGGCGTAGTACGCATTGCCGTTCCTCGACTCGGTGATGGGGAGCCAGGCGTCGTGCGGGTCGAGCTTGGTCAGGTGCAGAGCCCGCCGGATCGGGCTGCCGAGAGGGGTTATGAACCTCGGGGTGAGGGACAGCCTTGGGGTGGCGATCTTGGGCGTCACGATCCTCGGGGTCTTCGACGGCTTGATCTCCGGCGTCGACAGGAGCGGCGACCTCGACAGGGACGGCGAGTGGTATTGGGATGGAGGGCTCGACACAGGGGGTGGCGTCGGGGCCACCGAGGCATCCGTCGGCGTCGTCGAGGCCGGCCGAGGAGTCACCGGGTTGGAGTTTATCTCATCACCCATCCTTGTTAGCCTCTCTTTTTTTGGTTAAGAGCAAGCACCTTTCAAAAGGAAGACCCAAGAACCTCTCTCTCACTTGGTTCTCTAAGGTTCTTGTTCTTCCTCTCAAATCGAGTGTCTCCACACAAATACCACTGATGCCAAGCTCCTCCTTATATAACGGACTTTGGAACGCAAGGACAAGTACATGCGTTGATGATTTTAGACCGTGGCTCGTTTGGTCATAGAAGAGGGCTAGGGAAAAGAACGTGGAATATTGTGGGTCGATTTCGCTCTCGTTACTTTTAATATTAAACAAAAATGATGAGCCCGCCGTGGGCCTCTAGAAAAGGGGTAGGACAAGAAACGTCTGCATGTGACATAAATGAACAACGATAGCATATAGCAGCCGAGCATGTTTTGTCAAACATTTTCTTTGGGAGTCTGCAATAGAAATTGGTCCAATTCGGACTAACGCCGGTCGTGGGAAACCGCCTGTTTGGTTCTGGTCAGCGTCCATACTTAGAAAAAATGAAGAAGCAAGAGTGGGGTCCGAGTACTTTTGTAGTTGGCCCTTATCTTTATGATGATGGCCTTGACTTGGACCTGGTCCTCCTAAATATTGATACCGATTTCATGTTATTTTACGGTAATTAAGAGATAAAAAAACCTTCTATTTACGAAAAAGAAAACGATGTCGCAAGCTCGAAATGATAGTATTTATACAAGTGATGGGTATTCGAATACCTTCTTAATAGAAATTGGGATTCGTTTTACGGTAATAATCAGATGATGTGGACGCCGGACGTGGAAAAACGTGCATATTTGAAATTATACTTCATCACATCATAATTTTGTCTATTTTTTTACGCCCCTAGCATTGTTCTTCATGTCAGAGTCCAATTATGCACTTCGCCCCCAATTTCTCTTTTTAAACTGATTTAAAAGTTGTCATTGGGTTAGTCAAATTACATTAGCACCTATTTTTGGCTATTTCCCTTCTTTATATTACTTTATTAAATTCACTTGTCTGTCTCACATGTCCGGTTCATAGTTTTTTATATTACCTTATTAAATTTACTTGTCTGCCTCATGTATCTCATTCGTACTTACTATCAAACTAGTCATAGTTAACTTTTTCATTATAAATACTCGATTCATCAAATAATATTTTTGACTTACACTACTGAATTCCAGCCTAGGGATTGGTACATATCTTGCTTGGACATGCTTGCTCTGCATCTCCTCTCATTAGTTACTACCAACCCAAAATCAGGAGCCTAAATCACTTCTTCTTTTTTCTGGTCAGGCACATCAGATGGGTCTATGTTCAATGGAAGAACAGTGCCGGTCATCTTGAGCTCGCTCCTTTGCTTTCTAAGAATGTTCTTCAGAGTCTGTGATTTTCAAGCAGTAGAAAGTAGACAAGAGAGAGACGACCCACGCATCAGTGCGACTACTTTTCCTTTCATTGTAGGCGCATCACCGTTCCTGCAGTCGACAAAAGAAAAGCAACAAGAATATCATTCATTTTATAGAGGAGGGATAGACTTATTAAGGTTGATTTATAAAACTGGGATTCGAAATGATGCGTCAGATTGTGGATGATCCTTGAAAAAATGGACTATATTCAAGACCAAAAATTAACCCAACACGTCACTTTGTTAATCAATCTTGTAAATCAATCTTTATAAGATTAGCGTTTTCCTAGTTTGAAACCAATTGATCCATGATTCGATATACTGATCTTATAAGATGTTTGATTTGAATTGCACTTATATCGATTTATAATTACTTGATGACGGTTATGAAATGCTTCGACCAGATTATTCTTTACATATTTATTTATTTATTCATGCGGGGTGAACTTCTTCTTCCAACTACCTACTTTGTGTTTATTTCGTGGAAAATCAACAATTACGAAAATATTTTCCTAATAATAATCGCCGACATCACTTATAAAAATAAATAAACGACAGATAATTTGATTGTTAATGAAAATATTCAGGCACGCATTCTATGGACTAATTTTTCTAAACGATACAAATAATAATATTTAAAGAAATATTTTCCAGACCATTCATTGTCTGCGAAACAAAACATCATTACAAGAATTTCTATTTGGAAGGTACTATAATAACGTGGGTGACAAAAAAACAAATAGGAAAAATACCCAGCAAATCCATCCCATGGTTACAATTTATAATATTGAGAAGCACGAGCCCCAAATGGAAAGGACAAGGAAAGAGCCCCTACTTTCTTCGTTTAGGTGGAGGCTTATAATAAGTTTTTCATTTGGTCGAAACTTATAATGTTGACAAATTTCAAATGAATTGCAAGAGATTAGTCCACAGATACTTGGAAAAATACGGCAAGGTCGGGATTTGTCCTCTTCTGCAATCAAGCCACGGTTGAATTCAATTTTGGACAGCTGAAGCCTGTAGCAAAACAATCAAACTCCCCTTTCCTTTGTTCCCACTCCTCACGCCCAACATGCAACCGACGACCTTATTATATTAGCCTAATCATAACCCTGTCTCCAAATTTGATATTGGATAACCACAGGAATGCAATGATTGACTTCTGCTGAAGACAAAGAAAGAAAATTTAGGGATAATACATATTTGCTCCTTATTTTCAACCATCATACCACGTCCCGTGAACTCTCGTTTTGCTCAATTCATGTGATGCACAACATTTTTCAGGCGCTATAATGGAATTCGATTAATTTGTCTCAAGTGTACCAATTTAGGGTTTTTAGTGGTTAAAAAATTAATTTGGGTAAATTTATCACGGGTGTGCCAGTTTAGGATTTTTTGTGGTAAAAAAAATTAGTTTAGGGTAAATTTATCATGAATGTACCAGTTTGGGGTTTTTTGTGGTATAAACCCTAATATGTATATGCTCCTTATATCATGTCCCATGAACTTTCATTTTGTTCGATTCATGTTTTTCGTCAAAATGCGAGATGCACGTGATTTTTCAGGTTCGAAGATGGAATTTGATTAATTTTTGTACGAGAACATCAAATAACCCAAGGTTTCCCTAAGTCGTTTGAGGTAATACCTATTCGCCCTTCGAAAATAGTATGCATTTGCTCCTATACCTTACCCACCCTCCTAACACATGGTAAACTTATCTGGTGTTTCATTTTTTGTATGAAAAGAAAATGACCAACTAGTTGATTGGTTGAGTAGCCCACAACTCGGTTTAAGCCGAATGTCACAAGTTCGATTCTCCAGCTTAAATGTATCCCCGGTCTTTTAAGCCGAATGTCACAAGTTTGATTCTCTAGCTTAAATGTATCGCCGGTCTTAGACTTCCCACTCACACCTAGTGGGGGCTGCTCATGAGTTTGCCTAGTAGGCAAACGGTGCTTCCCTAACGCTTTAAGCCGAATATTTCACCAACCGATAAGGTAGGCCCCAATCCCATCCAAACCCTTTTTATATGAAAATAATCGAAAATAAATCTGTAACATGAGAGAAGAATATATTTTTCATGATCAACTTCTCCACGGAAATGATAGGGATAGAGTAAATTACGTTTCCTACCTACATGGATTTCCAATTTTGCCAATGAAACGACTTAATCTTTCTTAAGTCTCGAAGGGCATTTTAGTAACTTTGCAATATGGACTTTCCATTCTGTCTGCTTTATTTTTGTTTCCAAACTATGAAAGGAATGATTTTCACATTTTCATCTCCCTCCAATTATCACTCTCTGAACGACATCAAGAAAATCATCTCTCCACTTCAAATTTCATTCCACCTAAGTTTCATACCATTCATTTTCTTGTCCTCTTCCCAAACATAGGCGAAGAAGACATGTGACCTTTCAAGCTTTTTTGTTTGGTAAGAGAAGGGGCAAAACGAGAGTATTACATTAACACTAGCCTGACAAAGTTTAAACCAAACTAATCTCCTATTAATAAGGGAATTAAACCTATTAGTGGCCTATCTAATGCGGGAGCGGCATTTACATCGCAAGACTAATTGATCCAATTTGTTAATCAATCTGCACACAGATTTCCTTCGCCAAGAGTATGAAGAATTCTGACTTGTTGGGAGTATTTTAACAATTTCTGAATTCGAAAGATGAGGATGTGGCCAAAATGGGGAGAGATAGTTGGTTTATGAGGCAGCGCAATTGCCGCTTGCGACTCAACCTACACAATAATTTTGGCGATGCCCAGAGAGATTGCCAGTTGAGGCCCAAAAGGATACCCCAAAGTTCGCTTTCAACGAAGAGCCCACTCCTACGTGTGACCTTCAAGCTTTCGCCCATTGGTCATTCCATTTGAACTTCTTTCCTTTTTCATTGAAGTGCCACCAATTCAGCTTCATTGATGGACGGCGAAACGTCCCTTTATTATCTGTGTAGAATTTATTCCTCAAAGCTATTCGATCTTTCTTCGATTCTTGGTTTTTATGAATTGAGACATCTACATGGATGATCGATGTCTACACGGCCGTCTATTAAACCCGAGCATGGAGAATTGTGATCTAAGGTGAATTAGCTTTGCTTTAAGGGGTCCAAAAACAGATATTTACCAAGTAATGGTACTACCCCAGCAACTGGCTGAAAGCCACTGCTTTGTCTTGCCTACTTTTTAGCATTGTGATATTTGATTGACCATAAGGGTATCCATTGTTACAATCTAGCTGTAACTAGTCTATTACTGCGACTTCAAAAAGTGCAATCGAGTCCTAAAACTTATCATGAAGTGCAATTGAGTCCTAAAATATTCAAAAAATGCAGTAAATGGTAACGCACAAAGACAACTAATGGAAAAGATGGGTCGGTGAACTCATTCAAGTCGCCCGCAAGACGTACGGTCGCACCATAGCGGGAGACAGGTGATGCGGAGACTGGAGGCATAACTAAAGATCTGAAAAAAAATAAAACTTACTAACAATTAAGAGGTACGTGGTTTGCCAATGTGGAAAGCTATGAACTGAGGGGAAAGAGTTATACTGTACGAAAAACTGCAGACTATGGGTGACACTTTCAAACCATAAAGCATAGGCGTAGCTCTATCTTTGGAGTTAGCGCCCTTTCTTGGATGCTACGATGCAGCATACAAATGAATTTGAATCCGGCTTATCGTAATGCCAGTGTGTTTCTTTTTCCCATGTTAAGCATTCTAGGAATCAGGATTGCGATAC